CGTAGAATATACGCTGTCGGCCCGCCCTTCACGGTGATCACAGTGAGCAGAGTGTTCCTGCTCAGGCAAACTTGGTGAGAGACTAGCTCGACTAGATCTACATTGGCATTGTGTCCATTGAGATTTAATTTTTACATCTGACATAATTCACAGTGTCTTCACTCAGGCTAACTTGGTGAGATGCTAGCTAGACAAAGCTGATACTGGGACTGTGTCCATCAACTTTGTAACCTTACGGCTGTCAGTTAACAGAGCGTCCCCACTCAGGCTAACTCAGGGGGAAGCTAGCTAAACAAAGCTGATACTGGGGCTGTGGCTATCAACTTTGTAGCATTACAACTATCACAGTTAGCAGAGTGTTCTCGCTCAGGCTAACTCAGTGAATGCTAGTTATACTAAATCAACATTGATGTGCCCATTGATGCTTTTTACGCATTACGGCTGTCGCAGCTGGCAGTGTCCTCACTCAGGCTAACCTGGTGGGACACTAACTAGACTAAGTTAATACTGGGATTGTGTCCATTGATTTTGTAACATTACGGCTATCACAGTTAGCTGAGTGTCCTCGCTCAGGCTAACTGGTGGGACACCAATATCTGCAGCAAATATCCTAGTGAAGAGAGTGTCCTCGCTCCCCTCTCACTGTAAGAACTGTTTTTTTGGCCTGTTCCACAGTGGCAGAGTGCTCTCGCTCAGGCTAACTGGTGGGTCACCAATATCCACAACGACTGTCCTAGTGAAGAGAGTGTCCGAAAAGATCACTCTCCTCTGACTGCCCCCTGCCTGTTCTCTCAACATTCAGCAGAGCGCTCCCGCTCAGACTGATTTGGAATTCCGCATCAACTAGTGGGACAAGGGTTCCACCAGAATTGTGGCCATGTTAAACTCTCCCGGCTGTAGGACCTGTATAGCTCCTCTTCAGCTTGAGGACAGCCCTGACCTCTTGCCTTAGCCACGAGCATCTGAGGGAGGGCCTCTCGGAGAACCCAGGCAGGACCTGCGGCATCACGCCTTGAGCAGTAAGGTCTGCTAGGCTGGCCGAAGTGGAACACCTGATGCGTGAGGTCTACCTCCCCCTGTCAGGGCAGCTGAATCCAGCCCAACCTACCATGATCATTTGTATGGCGCTGGCACGCCTACAGTGGGATACACAGCAGCTGGAACTTCCACCTGTGAGCACCTTCTTCAGGCACCTTCCCACCCTCACCACCTTTTCTGTTCCTCCCTCCGAGGAATATCTGAGGGAGTTGCATGCATGCTTGAGAGACACCAGGGCTCTCTCCTGCCTTACATCAGATGGCGAACCCTGACGGCCATGCAGGAGGTGGCAAAATTTGGCCTTGCACATATGCCAGCCATTTAGCTGACTATTGCGTCCATCATAGTTTCCCCTGAGGAGACTCTGAGGCCCGATGCCAGGTGCCCTCGACCCAACGTCGGGTCAAAGATGACCTGCTATCCAGGGATCATGACACAGCAGCGCTGTGCACCGTATCGACAACTCCCTCTCCCACATCATACTTGCCCTCGCAGCTTCTCTGCAGCAGGCTACTTCGATGCTTCCGCCTCCAGCCTCAGTGATGCTTCATTGCAGGCGTTTGCGCTCATGTCGAGGGAACTTGGACGTATGATGTCCACCCTGGTCCAGACTCGCCGCCAGGTTTGGCTGGCGCAGTCACCCCTATCTGAGACATGTAGGAGGACCCTCTGTACTGTCCCAGTGGAACCTGGTGAGCTGTTCGAGTCAGCTGCTATACAGGCACTTCAGCGAACTGTTGAAGCTAGCCAGACCAAGCAGCAGTCGCCCCCCGCCCCCCTCAAAAGCCTCCAGAGGCAGGGGGGCCAGGAGATGTCTCCGGGCTGGCTGTCGGAGTTTTCCTCCCAGCAGCATATTTCCAAGGGAGAGTGGTTCATGTCTATTGACGCCTATTCCCATGGTGCATCACCACAGGCAGTTTCTACGTTTCGCCTTTTAAGGCCGCCACTTTCAGTCCAGGGTGCTTCCATTCAGACTCTCCCATCTCCCCATGGGTGTTCACAAGGTGCGTTACTGCTGTCCTTTCCCACTGCAATCACAGGGCGTGAACATACTGCCGTACTTAGACGACTGGCTGACCTGGGCGCCATCCCGGCTTCAGGCGCCACAGGACACTGCTCGCCTTCTCTCACGTGGCCCGGTGGGCCTCAAGGTGAACATGGACAGGAGCTACCTGAGCCCTTCTCAGAGCATAACCTTCATTAGTGTGGCCCTATGAGGGCCTGTCTGTCACCACAGCATGTGGACAACAACCCCCACAACCTCTCCCCCTTCCGAGGGGGCAGACGGTTGCCCTACATCCTTTTCTCCAACTATTGGGTAAACTGACAGCTACCTCAACTGTCGTTCCCTTGGGTTTGCAGATGGCCGAACAGCCTTCACTTGGATGCCAAGTGGCACAGACACAGGGCAATAATATTATCAAAACAGTGCCAACTCACTATCTCCATAGAGGGAGAGTGCATATCTGGCAAACAGTGTCCCCATGGGCTCGGTTCCATTCCACCGGGAGATTGTCACAACAGATACCTGCCTCTCAAGGCGGGGTGCAGTGTGACAGAACAGACAGCTTGGGGGCAGTTGTCTGCTCAAAGACCGCAGGGGCAGGTCAAGGTTCTAGGGCTAGCGCTCAAGCACTTCCTTCCATATTTGAAGGGAAAGCATGTGCTTGTCCGGTTGGACAACACCTCTGCTGTGATTTCACATAAACTATCAATGGGGCACCAGATCTGCAGAAGTTGCTACGGGAATCACCGTGCTCTTCTGACTTGGGAGGCCCCTCGCCTGACCAGCCTGTGGGCAATGTACCCACCAGGAGAACGGAACCAGGTTGTGGTTTTCCTGTTCCGTCACAAGCCTCCACCGTGAGAGTGGCGGCTGCATCCAGACGTGTCGACCCACTGCCCCCACTGGGTCTCCCTGACGGAGAGGACCAGTCCTCTGGGTCAAGATGCCCTGGCTCACACGTGGCCAGAGGATCTTCTTTATGCCTTTCCACCATTCCCTCTGATTTTGCTAAACGCTTGTCAGAGTTCTTCCCCGACAGGAAGGATCTCCTGTCGCAACTAGAGGGCGGATTTGGCAATCCAATCCCTGCCGCCTTCAACTATGTGTCACGGGAGGGCCCAACCGGATGCTGAGTGGCTGCATAGAACCAGTCAGACCGACTATTCTGAATGCCAGCGCGATCTACCTGCCTGCAGTACAAAAACAGGTGGAAGCTGTTCTCTGACTGGTGTGCGGCTCAGAACAGGGTCCCAGTACAGCGCCCTGATTTTTCTAGCAATTTTTTTTTTTTTTTAATAGGTTATATAATAAAAGATCGATACTTGACGTCCGTGTATCGATACAATACCGCCACGCAAAATATTGTGATACTATGCTGTATCGATTTCCCCCCCACCCCTAACATATATACAGGTGCTGGTCATATAATTAGAAAATCAAAAAGTTGATTTATTTCACTAATTCCATTCAAAAAGTGAAACTTGTCTATTATATTCATTCATTACACAGACTGATTTATTTCAAATGTTTATTTCTTTTAATTTTGATGATTATAACTGAAAACTAAGGAAAATCACAAATTCAGTATCTCAGAAAATTAGAATATTACTTCAGACCAATACAAAGAAAGGATTTTTAGAAATCTTGGCCAACTGAAAAGTATGAAGATGAAAAGTATGAGCATGTACAGCACTCAATACTTAGTTGGGGCTCCTTTTGCCTGAATTACTGCAGCAATGCGGCGTGGCATGGAGTCGATCAGTCTGTGGCACTGCTCAGGTGTTATGAGAGCCCAGGTTGCTCTGATAGTGGCCTTCAGCTCTTCTGCATTGTTGGGTCTGGCATTTCGCATCATCCTCTTCACAATACCCCATAGATGTTCTATGGGGTTAAGGTCAGGCGAGTTTGCTGGCCAATTAAGAACAGGGATACCATGGTCCTTAAACCAGGTACTGGTTGCTTTGGCACTGTGTGCAGGTGCCAAGTCCTGTTGGAAAATGAAATCTGCATCTCCATAAAGTTGGTCAGCAGCAGGAAGCATGAAGTGCTCTAAAACTTCCTGCGTTGACCTTGGACTTCAGAAAACACAGTGGACCAACACCAGCAGATGACATGGCACCCCAAACCATCACTGACTGTGGAAACTTTACACTGGACCTCAAGCAACGTGGATTGTGTGTCTCTCCTCTCTTCCTCCAGACTCTGGGACCCTGATTTCCAAAGGAAATGCAAAATTTACTTTCATCAGAGAACATAACTTTGGACCACTCAGCAGCAGTCCAGTCCTTTTTGTCTTTAGCCCAGGCGAGACGCTTCTGACGCTGTCTGTTGTTCAAGAGTGGCTTGTCACAAGGAATGCGACAGCTGAAACCCATGTCTTGCATACGTCTGTGCGTAGTGGTTCTTGAAGCACTGACTCCAGCTGCAGTCGACTCTGTCTGAATCTCCCCCACATTTTTGAATTGGTTTTGTTTCACAATCCTCTCCAGGGTGCGGTTATCCCTATTGCTTGTACACTTTTTTGTACCACATCTTTTCCTTCGCCTCTCTATTAATGTGCTTGGACACAGAGCTCTGTGAACAGCCAGCCTCTCTTGCAATGACCTTTTGTGTCTTGCCCTCCTTGTGCAAGGTGTCAATGGTCGTCTTTTGGACAACTGTCAAGTCAGCAGTCTTCCCCATGATTGTGTAGCCTACAGAACTAGACTGAGAGACCATTTAAAGGCCTTTGCAGGTGTTTAGAGTTCATTAGCTGATTAGAGTGTGCCACCAGGTGTCTTCAATATTGAACCTTTTCACAATAATTTTCTGAGATACTGAATTTGGGACTTTCCTTAGTTGTCAGTTATGATCATCAAAATTAAAAGAAATAAACATTTGAAATATATCAGTCTGTGTGTAATGAATGAATATAATAGACAAGTTTCACTTTTTGAATGGAATTAGTGAAATAAATCAACTTTTTGATGATATTCTAATTATATGACCAGCACCTGTACATACATATACATATACACACACCATGTGGAGCCTCCGTATTTTTCGAAAATAGGAAACACTTTTAGACACTTGGAACAATGCTGGATACATTTCTATTGTTTGATAAACTAATAACAATCTTCACGCAACATAAAAACAAATCTATTCCATTAAGATGGTTGTGAAACGCAGCGGTGAGCTCTACTGCCCTCTGCTGGTGAGCAGGAAGTACCACGCTGACTGAAGAGGTACTGCAGTATATTTAAAGGGCCAGATCCCTGATGGAGTGTGTTGGATATTCTAAATATAACTGATACTTATTCTAGTGAAACACTCGTACAGGTCTAGTACCCAGTAGGTGTTCTGGTCTTACTGGGTTCGTAGTAGTGTCCCTCCATCACCCCGAGGTGCATGGCGGGCGGTGCCGGCTCCGGTGTGGGTCTCTGGCGTTGGGACGAGTAGCGTTTGGCTCGATTAGAGCCGACGCTCATCTCCTCCATGTTGGGGAACTGAGGCGGGCTGCTGGGGATATGCATGGTGCTGGGGAGGCCTGGGGAGGGGAATATGGATCGATCAAGTATAATTATATAGAGAGAGAGATCGATATATCTCTCTCTCTCTCTCTCTATAGATAGATCTATAGCTCTCCTCCTGTTGGTTAGCCGTTAGCGGTGCTGCTAACATTACTAGCTCTCCTCCTGTTGCTTTAAACACTGATTGGTTGTTTACAATGAAACATGATCAGAGATCAGAGACTAGAAACACATGTTCTACTGAGTCAGGAAAACTTTATTTACACTCTGATGTTAACGATAAGCGGTCCGTTACTCCACTAATGATGACGAAGATGGAAGAAGACTCACCTCTCATCTCAGACCTGAAGTAGGACGTTGGACTCGGACTCCAGCTCTGCCCTGCCAGACTGAGTCGAGCCACATCCTGGTCCAGCTCCGTCACTCCTCCTCCCTGACTCGGCTCGTCTCCTGCTCCCGTCCAGCTCTTCCCCCCCACACCGCTTGGCGAGGAGGAGGCGGCGGCGGCGGCGTTCCTTCCGCCCGTGGTGGCGGCGGCGGACTCCTCCACGGACGGCTGTTTGCTGCCCAGGTCCGTGGGCCGAGAGCGAGTCCTGCGAGCCAGAGAGTAAGATTTACGCTCCATTGCCGGCCGCTCGGCAGGAGGAGAGCCCCCCCGATTGGTTGACTGTAGGGAGGAGGAATCAGAGGAAGAAGCGGCCAATCCTGACGCGGACCTGTCGGCCTCGCCCCTCTGTTCCTGCTGCTGGCGTCTCGGCGATGCCGACTGGTACCCGCCCGGTTGCGATGACGTCGCTTGCGTTACGACACTCGGGTCCTGATCCCGAACGCCTCCGACCGTTATGTCCTCGATGACCACGGAGGGGCCCCTCCCCGCCCCACCGCCCCCCCGCCCCGGACCCCTGATGACAAGGCCCCGGTCCCCTGAGGGGTCAGACGGAGCTTTGGGGCCCTGTCGTTCTCTGGGGTGCATCTGGGGCGCGTTTGATTCGTTGTTGTTACTATTCCTGTATTGGGGCGGGAGGTGCATGTGGCCGTGGTGGGACGGGCGGCTGCGGGGCGGCGGTGGCCTGGAGGGGTTGTTATTGTTGTTACGGTGAACGGAAGAGAGAGGGAGGGAGGAGGTGGAGGACGGGTGGATGGATGATGGAGGAGCTCCTCCTCCTCTGTTCAGACCTCCTCCTCCACTCTGCCAGGACCGGACCGGTCGCTCTCCTCCTCCGTCTCTCCACCGTTTGTCTCTGCTGGGAGACAAACTTTGTCTGCAGAGAGACGAAAACATTCAGATTAAACACATTAAACTCTTGTAGATTAAAGAGGATTCAAACCACAAAAACATGTTTTATTTAGACAACCCCCAAAAACTACGTTTATCTCAACCAGAAGCTGTAAAAAGTCAGATTTTCATCTTTCCGACTGTCTCTCGAACACATCATTTGTGACTAACGCTTCCGTCAAAAAAGAGAGCAAAAAACGAAGTTTTAAATTGAGACATTTCGTCAGAAACAAAGACATAAAGAAGAAAGAGACAATCACATGACGTGTTCACTGACTCCGTTGCCTTGGGGACAGACCACCGTATTAACCCCCCCCCCGCTCACCTCGGTCTGCGCTGTCGGAACGGTCGCTCCGCAGAGCCGCCGCCGTTGTTCCGGATGTCGTAGCCGTAGATGGCGACGAGCTCCTCGCGGCTCTTCGGCGCCTGTTCTTCTTCTCTGAACCGGTCGTGATCCCAGCGTCCTTCATCCTTCCACAGCTTCCTGTTACGGCCTTTAGGTCTGAGAGAAGAAGAGAGACGATGATGTCACTACTAACCTGATGACCAATCAATGAATGCTGAGAAATATCTTCACCTGTGGTGTTTTATGATTGTTGTATTTGACATCAACTGTTTTTACAACTTCAATGAGATTTATTCTGTAATAAATATAAATATTAAAAAGAACTGTTTACAAGTAAATAAATAATAACAATAACAACACACCTCTCCTCCTCCTGGGCGTGTCCTCTGACGTCGTGCTCAAAGAACAAACCCTTCCTCGGGATGTAAGCCGGGTTCTTTCTGTCCTCGTCATCGTCGAGCTTCTGACCAGGTTTATCCCCCCCCTTCGTCTCAGGCTCGTCTGTGGACTCCTGTGTGTGCGTGTGTGTGTGCGTGTGTGTGTGTGTGCGCGCGCGTGTGGGTAAAAGATGTTCAGAGAAGTGTTTGGTTTTAAACGACAGCAGCATTTCACTTAATGGTAAAACATCTTTTTTTCAAATGACACCGTTTATCACAACCAGAAGCTGTAAAACGGTCATAATCACCACACTGATATTTCTGAGGGTCCTTGAACACATCACGTGATGAACGTGACGAGCGTAAGAAAACGTAATCAAAACAAAATTGTGATCAAAAACATGATATATTTACTGCAGTAGAAGTACTGCAATCACAACCTGACCTCAGAAGTATACAAGTATTACAAACTAAATGTACTTAAGGGACTTATTGTGTAGTAAAATGATTTATATATTTTATTACATCATACTGTCTCACCTGTCCGTCTCCGCTCTGTCTCTCTCCTTCCAGGTTTCCTTTCTCCTCGGCTTTGCTCTCCTCTTTACTGCGTCCTCCCTCCTCCGTCTCCTTCTCTCCTTCATCCACCACCTCCTCCTCTTTCTCCTCTTCTTTCTCCTCCTCCGTAGGGCCATCGGCTGCAGGTGGTTTAAGCTCGCTGGCTGCTGGAGGAGCTTCTTCATCACTGTACTGCTCAGCCTCCTCTTCCTCCTCTGCTCCCTAAAAGAGGAAGATGAGTTTTAACAGTTAAATACTGAAATGTTTATTGGTCCAAACGCCACCTTTAGTTGTGACTTATTTAGTGGAGAATAAACATTTATTACAGAGAAAAACATTTGAACTAAATTCAGTTCATGATTCTACTTTGAATAGAACTATTAATTATTATTATTATTATTATATTTCTTATTTATTTCTCTGTTTAAGATAAAAAAAAACATCTGTTCAGCCGCATGTTGTGCATCGAAAGAGTAAACATAATCTGTAATTATTATTCAGTGCCAAACCACACAGTATATTATCCATCGGGCTTAATCATAATAACTAGAAAATTCCTAAAGAAATTTTGACAGTGTGGCTTCTACTACCCGAAGAAATCGCAATATATACACACGCCAATGTTACCGGTAGTGTCATTCAGGTTCAATTGAGATAGCGCTACTCTCTTTTCTGCATTTTAGATTCATACTCTTGGATTGAATCTTGTATTTGTGGGGCTTTTATTTTGAAAGGGTGGGACTGGGTGGGTGAGAGAGGAGACAGAATCATAATGTTTGACACTAAAATGAGAGGCTTCATCACAAGCATTCCAGTTAGAATTCATTCAGTGGGGCTTTTAATTTGAAATGGGGGGGGGGGGGGGGGG